AACCAATGGAATATAAACTTTTTTTTCCTGAAATCTGCCTCTTTTCTCTTAGAAAGCATTTGTGTTTTTTAATCTTTCAAGCTCTAATGATAAAATCCATTATACAATTAATGAAAAACTAAGTTGAAATAAGTGAACATATATATTCCAAGGCGACAAACACAAGAAGCAGTGCTGACTAGAACACAGATGTAATAGACTCATGTGTCAGTCACTCGAGAGAGTCTCCCACCCCCATTCTGCTCACTAAAGTATTTCATCATCACTCTCCCAAAAGACACTGCACTTGCCCCCTGTGTGGCGGATGTGTATTTTGCTTTGCAAATTTATACACTCCCTCACTAGGGTGGATCTTTCCTGTACTTTGGGACAGTTATTCTCCTTCACAAGCCTGAGAGAAACCAGAGGGCAAGATGCATTTGTGCCTTTTCCCCTCAATACCAGCACCTGATTGGTTGACCACCAATGTGTCTGCAAGAAATCAAAGCCAGGGTTGAAAGGAAAAAAATTACAATGTTAAAGCAGTTAGCTTTTTAGAGGAAGGGTGTATCAGGAAACTGCTCTCAGCACAAGGGCATCCAGTTGCTCCCCTGAGAGGCTCCACCCAATACCTCCGGCTCTTCTGTGAAAGGAGATGACCCAGGGGCTAGTGTTTGCTAGACACTCCAAGAGACATGGTCCTTGTGGGTGTCTTGCATCATCCCCAGAAAGTTGTAATACCTGGAACCAGGAAAATAAAAGGGAGTGGCTGAGGACACATGACCCTGCAAAGGTTCCAAAGACATTCTGGGAAGGCGCGCGTGCCTAGAGAAGATGAGAGGAGATGTGCAGAGTGTCAGGTGATTACTCTTTGCTTTCCTGTCATGTGAAATGTTCACGAACAGACAAATATATTAAAAAGAGCCACCTACTGCTCTGTTAAACAAAAATAAACAATTAAAATGGCACGTCCGTTTTAAAATGAAATAAAGCACTAATAGCTGATACTGTGATTTGGAGAGGGATAGTTGGCATTTGGGAATGTGGGAAAGAAATTGGAAACGTAGAATTTTCTACAGTCCCTAGAACAGTTAGGCTGGGAGAAGTTTTGGATTTGAGACCCTGCTTGCCAAACATTTGAAAATTGCAGAGAAAACCAACGACGCTGGGGGGCATTAAAATAACTAAATAGCTGGCAATTAG